CCCCCCCCCCCCCGCACCCCCTCAGCCTAGGGAAAGAAGGACCTGGAGGTTAGGACTGTCAGGGGAGAGCTCCGTGAGTTAACCTTGGGAAGAGGTGGTGCCTCTGTAGTATTTCCACCCCAGTCCCAGGCAGCTTTCAGGGGGGCCCCCCAGACCAGGGCAGTCCTGGGAGAAGCTGCTCTTGGCAAGCTGCACAGTCATTCATTAAGGCCCGTAGAGAGTTTCTCTGATCTGCCCCCTTGGGCTAGAAATGCTCCTACCACCACCTTGGGGCCAAGGGCCAAGTGTTACCCTTTTGGGCTCCCCAGTGTCTGGTCCCCGAATATGGCCAGAGTCGGTCTGTTAGTCAATTACCTGTTCTTGGGTCTCTCTGTAAAAAAAACCTAGTCAATGCTATAGTCAAGTTGGATAATTACACCCAAGGGGAGAAGTGTGTAGTCTTCCCAGAAGTTTCTTTTCTCTACTCTTGCTAGGTCTCATTCCCTTCTCTACTAGTTCCCGTCTCTGTCTCATAAGAATTAAACAGTGGGGAAGCTGTGACAACTAACTGATGTGAATGCTCACCTCCTGACATCATCTAGTGGAAGGAAATAGGCACGGACCTGACACCTAATAAGTCCCGCAGTGAAGGATCTTAATGAGTCTGTTGCTTCTCCCTGACTGAGGTTTTTAAAGCAGTCAGTAGTGTTACAACTTAACAACTCTCTCTGAGGCCTTGGGTGGCGGTTCTGAAATACAAACTACTACAGTGTATTCCATGTTCACCAGCAGTGTCTGACCATAGCAGATGCTGAGTAGATAAGCATTTCCCAGGGTCTGCAAGCAGAGGTAAATGCTCAGGCACACCCAGGTACCTTTTCCTGTCAGAAGGACCCACTCCAGGCACTACAAAGGCCCCCCTTCCAGTTTCTTGACTCTCCCTTACCACCTCCTCCCACCAAGTGGCCATAGTGGGAACTTTCAGTAAGGAGGAACTCACATCCTTTGAAAGCAACAATACTATCTTTGACTGGTCTTGCTGAGTTCTCCCTCTCTTGTGAGCTCAAGTCTAGCCCCCTGAATCTCCTCATTGGCTTCTCTTTCTGCTTAGGGACCTCCACGATCATGTCTGACTCCAAGGTGTCACCCAGACAAGCATCACTCCCCTCTAACTGCCCCTGATATGACGTGGTCATGATCACACTTACCAGGATGTTGAGAGACTCTCTTTGATGCATCCCAGCTTGTCTGGAGCTCCCTTAACTGTAACACTCAGGAATGAACGGGGAATCCTGTTGAGTGAAGAGAGAAACTGCCACTTCTTTCTCAGCCCTTTGCTTCCGTGTGCGTGGCTTAAAATAGCAATTTGTTTGCATCAGTGACGTTGTGTTGTTGGATCAGGTGGAGCATACTGTCAACTAAACCCACAGCACTTGTGCAATATTTAAGCACCATGACCATCCCACAGCCCCTGGTGAGCTGCCGGTTCCTCTGTCCCAGCAGGTCCAGCATCTTCCATTCTCTCAGGATGACAATGTGATATAAGTGCTTCCTCCTCCCTTTGGGAGTTCCACCTCCCTGTCCCAGCTCTCATCACACCCTCCTCTGGTCTAACCCCACCCACCTTTTAAAACTGGGTGAAAGAAGGAAGGCAGCTGCCCTTAGTTGTTTGTAAGCAACAATATGAGTCCTGTTGTATTAAGTCATAGAAACTCTTAAAAAAAACGAGTATGATAGAAAGTGCTCCTGCCAAAATTTGCACAGGTATACAATTCACCTTTATTACTTATTTAAATTATCCCTCTGAGATCCCACTATTAGTACATGACAGAGTAGCTAGCTGAGTTGTTCTTAACTATAATGAAGGCTCTGTTAGAACCAGCCAGGACAGTGGCTTTTTCCGCTGCATCCAAATGCCACACAGCACATAAGCAAGTGAAGATGCCAAACCATTAGGGAGTCTCCCACTCACCTGGCTACCTGGTCCACAAAACTAAAGTTACTCCCTATACCATGACTGAGATGCAAGCACTCACTGGGTCATGCTTCCTGGAACATCCCCGTGGATGCTACAGATTTTAGACCCAGGTATGGCTCTTGTTAACGAGGGTCAGACCAGTCAATAATATGGGGCCAGGACTTTGAACCATCCACTAGGGTCAGAAGGCACATGGGGATATGACCCAGTTGCAGAAACTGAGATTCATTCTATCTGAAGTCAACAAGGTTCACAGACAATGCAGCAGTAAACTGCAGTCCCAGGAGGGGTCAACATCTGTGTAAATACGAGACACAGTGCCACCATCTGGCCTGTGTGACCTTGTCATCATGTTAGAAATGGAGAAACAATCTCTCAGAAGCTATGGAACTCAGTGAACTTCGGGACAGAAAACAGAGCCAAACTTTAATCTGATGTGAAGAACTATGTTGACGTGTTGTTTTTGCACCAGCTACGGAGCCTGTCCTCATGGGTGGTCAGGACACAGAAATGCTGCATCAAGCAGCGCGTGTGATTCCCAAATTCAGGAGAAAACGTCAGCATCCAGGAAGTCTTCTGGCAGCTGACAGGTCCCCAAAACATGACAAAAAGATTAGGAAAAACTGGAAAAAGAGGGTCACTGCTCTTGGGTGGTGGCCTTATCATTCACAGGGGAGGAAGACAATGACTCAGTTTCCAGAATGTAGATTTACCAGGAATTAGGGCCACAAGGACATTAGCTGTCTTAAGTAGGGTGTTACATTGAAGTACAACTTGCCCAGATAGTTAAATGCAGACTATCAAGCACTGGATGGATTTCCTAAAATATTTCCATTTTCAGGTAACAGAATGATAGAATTGTCACCACAGAAAACCTAAAAGGATCAGCTATTAGAAGTAATAAGTGGCTACAACAAGGTTGCCAAGTACAAGATCAATTTCTAAAAATCAATCACTTCCTCTACAGCAGTAAGCAACCAGGAAGTCCAATAGACAGTAAGAAGCCATTCACAATAGCAATTATGTCCAGCATAATATCCAGGTTTTAACCTAACAACTTACAAGAACTTTATAGAGGAGATTCTAATACTCTAAGGATATAAAAGAATTTTTTTTAAATGAAGCTATTTCATGGATAGGATTATTTTACATTACAAACATGTCCTTTTTTGTTTCAATATTTCACTGTTAGGCCAACCAGAATTCCAGCAAGAACTCAAATTTTAAGAAACTTCCAAAAACTTGCAGAATATAGGAGGGAAAAATAAAAATTGAAATAGCATAGTCAATTCTGAAAAGCATAGAGAGGAGACCTGCTGTGCCAGATAAATATGTCATTACTACACAGTGATAAAAATACTCTGGTACAAGGCCAGAGCCAAACAGAACAGTAGACTAGAATAGAGAACCCAGGAGTGGACCCGTGGGACCTCAAAGCAGAGGTGGGAACACAAATCAGTGAGAAAAATATAAATTATTTAGACGATGGCTTTGTAGAAATTGGCTTAATTTTTGAAGAAAAGCTTAAACTGGATCTTCTGTGTCTTCTGTCTACAAGGTAACTCGAGATGAATGAAAGACCTCTTTATGCAAAAAAGGCAGTGGAGTGCATTTCCAGTGTGGGCTAGGAGTTTACTACGGAGAATGGGTTTGCTGCATAAGAATGACAGCAACCGCGCAAAAAATCTGAAAAGTTGGTGAGATTTGACTACATCACAAGTTATCTCTTCAGTGAAGGACACCACAGGAAAAGGAAACAGCTGACAAACTGGGAGGAGAAGTGTGGTCTATGCAAAGGCAGGCAAGGATTAAAATCTAAAATACACAAGGAAATGCAAATCAACACTAAGAAGTCAGAAAATTCTAGATAAAAGTGAGGAAAGCATAGGAATAGACAATACATAGAAGGGAAGTCAGAGGGCCAGCAAACACATGAGGGACCCAGTTGCTGGTCACGAGACAAACATTGTGAGATTGATGGAGCCGATGATTTGCTTGTTTCGTCCACCCCAACTCTCCTTGGGCAGAGGTGGGGGGAGGAGATGAAGGGGACCCTGATTGGAAGTGTTTGTCAGTTTCTATGTGCAAATATTCTCACCACTGTCGATTTGAAGTACTAGTGTGAGGTCACAGACACGGAATTGGGAGGAAACAGGGTAAATCAGCTCTATGATGCCAACACATCACTGCTCTATGCACCTTGCTAGCCAAAAAAAAAAATAGAAAGTTCTAAGTCATGGCAGAAATTTGGGGGTCCTCTTACATGGCAGCTGAGACATGAAACTGGTAAATATACTCCATACAACAATCTGGCAGTATTTAGTGAAAAGATGATCAGCAGTGTCCCTACAGTTATGCCTCAGGGAAGCCCTTACAATGGTATTCTGAGAACCTTCTTGTGGGACTTTCTGGAAGCCATCTCTCGCTAAGTGATATCATCCAATCCATGGCTTTAAATACCATCTCTATTTTCATGATTACCAAAATTTCTATCTCTAGCCCTGTACTTCAAACATATATTCAGCTGCCTACTCAACAGCTAATCTAGGGTACATAATAGACATCTCAAATATCACATGTTCAAAATAGAACCCTTCCCCAGCGGGTAAATGGCAGCCCTATTATTCTGTTTGTTTCTGAGTCATCCTTTCTTCATTTCCTAGGCTTCTCAAACTGGGGTCCCCATCCACATTCTTTAAAAAGGTTTAAGACATCTTTATCAATAAACACATGAATCAATGCCTCTGAATTCCTTACAAACCGAGAGCCACTGGAGATGCACCGCTGCCCCTCGGGCTTGCTTGCTTCAGACTGTTTCCTGTTTCAAGTGGGCACCGCCTGCTCAAGTGGAACAAAAGTGGGAGGCCTTCCCTGCCTTAGAGCCTTGGTTTCACATTTGAATCACCTGGATGTCTTTTACCAAAAAAAAACAACCCTAAAGATCCCCTCAAGTATCCTAACTGAGCTGTCCTGAGAGTCATGCTCTTCTGTAAGTTTCTCCTGTCTTTCATTAACCTAGTTCCCAAGAAGACCCTGACAAATGCATTTTTCAAATCTTGCCCCCATATGGGTCACTGCTTCCCAGGTCCTCCAGCTGGTGTCACTGCCAAACACACGGACCACGACCACAGAGAGGAAAGAAGGGAGTATTTCGTGGCCTCAGGATCCGGTTTGAGCCTGTACCATTGCGCAGGAGTTATAGTTTTCATACAGACCACTCACACTGTGGCCACAAGATACCTCCAGAAGCATCCCACAAAAACAGCATTGCGTCAGTTTCAGGAGGATGTTAGTTCCCACAGCCCACCTGCCCCAACTGAAACTCTAACCAACCTTCTAGATATAGCTATAACTATTTTGTAGAAAATGTAAGGTACAAAGGAACATTACAAATAACACTTTAAGGATGTATCATCCAAATCCAAAATGTGGCAACTTTTATAGAGCAAATAACCCAATTCCTATGACAAAAAGTATAGAGCAAAAACTAGTAGCATTATCCACTACCCACAATATATAGAAATTATTCGGATCTGGATTCAAACAAGGAAATGTAAAAAAAAAAAAAAATGGTGACAGAGCTTGGGGGGAGGGTTTTAATCCAAAGGGGATATTAAATCATATCAAGAAATTTGTATTGATTTTGTTAGGTATTGTTGGACCTGTATTGAACTAAGCTAAAGTCATTTTGTGCTAACCGACTTTTCTGCTTCTATATCCTGCTTACTTCTTGCTGCAATAGGAAATTTCCCAAATAACTTTGCTGTAAGAGGAAGAAAACTTGTACAATTGATTAAATTGATTACCGTCTGCAACAGGACCAGGATTTGGGTCATATGACCAGGTCATATGATCCTAGGGCCCACTGCAAGAATGTTATCTAAGTTTCGTTTCCTTGCCTGCAGTATATAAGAAGTGGTTTCTGCAAATGCTCAGGGCCACACTCTCTAGAGTGTTGGTCCCAGCTGGCTGGTATTCTGAAGCCCAAATTAAATCTTGAATCTCTGTCTCTACGTTGCCTGACTGCTTTCTTCCCGCAGCTCCAACAGTATGTAATGACATTTTAATTATGCTTTTATTAAAAATTCTTACCTGTTAATTCTTATCTGTTTGGGACTCATAGAAGTATTTATGATAAAAAGTTAGATGTCTGAAATTTGCTTTAAAAAGCCCTAAAAGTCAGTGTGTGGTATAAAGTACTGCATACATACAAAATCGAATACTACTCAACCAGAAAAAGAAGCATTATATTTGTGACAAGGATTTACTTTGCATGAAATAAATCAGATGGAGGAAGCTGAATCTTGTATGATTCCACTCATGTACGGACTGTGAAGATACAACATATGAACAAACAAAAGAACACACACTCCT